TAGAATCCTAACACCTCTATCAGCTGACGCCAACAGGCAGAAACAGGGAGACAAAACACTGAGAGCACAGCAGCCAAGGTGCGTGTGCTCAGTCAGGTCAGTATGAACTGATAAACTGGGTCAAAATTATGGGCCTTGGAAATTATTTCCCCAACAGAAAGCATGCCATTTAGTAGAATGATTATAGTGATGTAATATTGCATTTTAATGCAACAATTAACACATCAAAATACAACAACCAAAAGAATGCAAATACTGTATACCTGAAATGATCTGTTCATGAAATACATAATGGTGTTTATGGAGAGTTTGCTGGGCTTTATTGTTTTATTTTCTCACTAATATTGTACTATCTAATCATAGTCATAACATGTCTTTGGGGGTAGGGCATTCATTGGTGCCGAGTCATGTTTGGTGGATGGTATCAGGACCATAAGGGAATCCTCACATAGAAACTGACATACTGTATTTCTAAATAGCAAGAACATATGTGTCTATTCAAAATAAGATAGAAAGGTGCACATATTTCTCCAACTGAATAAGGATTTCCTTTTTTCCCCATGTTGTGTTTCAGGAATTGCTGGAGACTGGAAAAACCAGCTAACCCCGGCAGAAGCAGCGCACTTTGACGCTGTTTACAAAGACAAAATGAAAGATGTCAAATATACATTTGCATGGGATTAAATGAGAATACTTTAACATTGCCTCCTGCAGCATACCATGATTCTCAGAAATGAATAAGCCATTTCTTATTCACCACAAATTGTTTGGTTAATGAGGTTTGTGGCAGCAGAATTGGAGAAACACAAACAAACATTCTTTAACTCCTCTTAATAGATTAAACTGTTTTATGGTTTTCATAGACAGAGTCTAATCAAAGATGATGTGTTTGAAGTACTAGGCACGAGCAACCCTCTCTCTAACTTCTTGATTTGTTCATATAACACTGCCTTAACAGAGTTGTTGTTGTTGTGTGACCTGAGGTGTTCACCTTGGCTGGTTTGTGTTATGGCCAAACCGATTATTGATTTACCATAAGTCACGTATTATTTCGTTAAGCTTTATGCATCACCAGGCTGAAAGTTAGATATAAAACATCTGTAATTAAGTCAACCTTCACTTGAACTAGTACCAAATAAATCCAATGAGCCTCAGGTGACCTTACTTGCATATGTTAATGTGTAACAATGCAAATGTGATATCAGACACAGTCACACCAAAACCTTAAAGCAACATGAACCTGCTTGCCTTATAGTGAACGGATGAAGATCACAGTGATTCATAAAACATTTCATTTCCAATAAAAAATGTCTCCATCAAATGTTGTAACTAAATCACAGAATGTTTTTGCTCCTCCTTAATTTTACAATATTTGTATTTGTATTTTTCAAGTTTCATTTAATCTATTCATCTGCCCTGCTTTTACACATCCTCATCTTTACATTTACGTTTATTTTATATAAAGATGGTGAATAAGTCATATATTTGTGTTATTACATACAGTATTAATTAAGTAATTCTTTACCTAATCTTGGGCGCTTCTGCATTGCATACATTTGTTTTTCTTAAGAGTGGAAAGTGTGAAAAACGTAAAGAACGTGACAATGACTGGGACTCAAATGCAACGACACGACAACAAAAGTACAAAAACAAAAGTTTTTACAAAATGTAGGAAAGAATGTGCAAAGGCAAATTGCAAATAATACAAGACTTAATTAACGTGGCTCTTGGTAGATGGTAAATAAAGTTCTTCGCTTGAAAAGCGCTGGCTTTCTTGACATGGCATGGAATAAGGCTAAATGGCACATGACAAAGGAAGAAGAGGGTTACGTTCGTCAGTTAAGCTTAGGAAGGTTCCTAACGGAGTGAAAGGACCCAGCAGTACCCAAGTGTCAGCCTGATAAGATATCTAAATGATAACATTACTTGTTACATGTTAGACGCTTTTATCCAAAGCGACTTACATACAGGAGCAATTTGGGGTGAAGTGTCTTTCCCAGGGACACAACGACATGCTGATTGCAGTGGGTTTTGAACCTGTGACCTCCTGGTTTGTGAACACCAAGGCTCTATCCACTGCGCCACACGCCTCGTGATAAATCAATCTGTTGTCTAACATTTTCCAAAGTTAAAATCTTACATGTGTCACTTGTGGTCACACATTGTCTGTCTAGGGGTAAGACATTGTTAATTTGGATTAGACACTAGGACATTATGTAAACTGGACCTGTTTGGTGCACTTGGTTGCAAATTAATTTGCCACACTTGAAACCTTTGTAAGTAGGATGTTGTTACAGTCCTCCAAATGCAAACCTAATTTATTTAAACAAAGTACTGTATCCCAAAATTCCCATGAACTCCACATGCCAACAAAGAAAATTTGAGGTTTGATTTATTTGATCATATAACACTTTATACAGAGTTGAATGATAAATGTTTTGTTTACAGTAGGCCTATAATACACAATTCAAGTAGTACATGAATGTTTTCCATACTTGCATATAGTACACGGAAATACAAAAGCATTTTACCATTTGTCATGGTATTCAAACGGGTCAAGGATGAATAATTTTTTATATTTCTAAATGCACTCATTCATACATTCATTTCTCACATTCACAGGATCCATCAAAGCAAGGGAGATACTAAGTGTTGAGTGTGATAATAGAAGTTGTGTTGAGGTTAAACTATTTGTCAACTATGGTTAAACACAGGAGCATATATACAGTCTTAAATTACAGTTTACAAATCCTTTATACACATAAACACAAAAAAACCCACACATGTTTTACTTTGCAAGGTATAGGGAATGTTTTGAGGAAATTTGATTAAGAATTTCACTTTCATTTGAAAAAGAAATAGTCAAAATAAACATACAAATACAAAATGGATTTTGGCTAACACTGTGACACAACATTTTAATGTTAACCCTTGGGATACATTCATTTAAAAATGAAATCATTTGTTGGAGGGATCTGAAAATAAATATAATTAAATGTTTGCATTGATAAGAGGTTGTACTGTTAACACCTGAACCTTTTAACATTGCTATGAGAAATAAAAAGCAGCGGAGGATGTTATTCAGAGATGACTACAGTACCTTTATTGACTATCAACTCCAAGACTCATGGAACATGTTGAACATAGCTGGGAGAGTAAAATATAAAATATTGCCTACATGTACATTCACATATGAGACAAAGAAAGCAGACAACATTAGAAAAACAATGATGTATTTTGATGCTTTTAGGAGGGCAATTAGTTCAACTGATTTGGGCAACGTTGATAGCACATTTGTTTGACAATGAGGCCTTAAATTGGTCAGTAATAATACAGCCTCGGGTCAGTGAGAATGTTCCCTTGTATGTTACAAATAAAGAAAAAGAAAACCTCATGAAAAATACACCTACATTTAAAAAACAAAGAGAGAAAAGAGGTAATGGAATCCGATTCTTTGAATTACAGAATTTCTTTCATTCTGATATTCTTGAATTGTTTAATCCTTTTTGCAACCTCTTCAGTACATGTGCATTTCGATTAATGGTTTAATTTATTAGAGGTTGAGGGAAACACCCATTTTAATATAAAGATGCCTAGATGTCAACATATCACCACAGCATTTGCTTTTTGCTCACCTTAAATCTAATAAAGAGGGAGTAGATGAAAACAAAATAGCCAAGATTCATAAATGTCACAAACTGAATCTTTGCAACATGTTTTTTTTTTACATAAGGTATGCCTACTTGATGTTTCTTATAATAGTTGGATAAAAGAAAAATATTTCAGCCTCTATGCCACACACTGAACACATTATGTTCATGCTATGTGAACATAGCGGCGCAATATATTATACAGTACAAGTGTTGTTTTACATCAAACCAATACAGGACACATCCAGTGATACCTGGTGATATTGAACACGCATTTTTACAAATACATAATTAGAAGAAAAAAAACTGAAAAAAAACGTTTGCGTTCATCAAGTAAAATTAAATGAGGAATACTAATCTTTAGTCAAACACTTGTTGTCCACACTGCATCATCTACTGGTAAATGTGACACCAGACCTGGTACATTTCCATGAGGAAAATCCTCCTGTTTTAGTCAGGATACTGAAGTAATCTCTCTCTAAAGTGATGCATGTAAAGGCAAACAGAACAGAAGATATTATCTGAAAAAACCCAAATAAAATAGTTGGGCTGTGTTGAGCTTAATGGGTCCATGCTATCTATTTGGACCTATTATAGATTCTCATGATTGGGAAGTAATGTAAGCATTTATGCCAAACATTTGAATATACTGTGTTTTCAATATATCATCTCAAATATACAGTACTGTGTTTAAACAGACTCATGTTATAAACCCGGTAACTAAAGGTTAACATTTCTAAGCAGCTATCACACTTATGAGTTGCCCCGGCCCTTTCTTCTTAGTTTTGACAAACAGGATCTCTCCAGAGCTTTGCTCCCCATCGAAACCAAACCAAAACAAAAGGGTTTCTATAATCTCCCACATGAACAGTTCATCTGCATTGCTTGGCTGGTTGCATGAGTAGCGAGGGTAGTTTGTATACTGCAACATGGTCCTCTATTTGAAAAAAACCCCCAAAACAATCTCTGGTGATCGTATGGAAATTCCCATCCCAGGTGGCGTTCACATAACTTGTTCGTCAGGTTCAACCAGAAAATGGAAACTGAATGAAGTCACATGGAACAAACAGAGACGAGTCACTCATACTGGGTGGCATAAAGTGTGTCAATGACGTACAAGCTCGTTCTGTACGCCATTGCTGGATGGCTGTGATGCACCGGTGTGAATTTGCAGCCTTGATTTCAGTCAGTACCCCTGCCTAACTTGCGTGTGTTTGGATGTGTGAGTGTGTCTTCTATATGTATGTGAGACAGATAGACAGTTTTTGTCTGTGCGTCCTTCCTCTCCTATAGTAAATCAGGGTACACTTGAACCCCTTCGCTCTTAATTTCAGCTCTCTGGCGTTAGGTGGAAGTGGCTTCTCTCAGACGGTGATGGGGCAGGTAATGATTTTGTCCTCCAGCATGACGCTGAGGACCAGGAACACAACGTACAGCAGGAACATGAGAAGGCCGAGAGACTTGCTCATTTTCCAGTTGCAAGCCGCGATGGAGATGATGACAAAGAGGAGCATGAGGAAGAGTAGGACGATGGCGCAGAACAGTCCGTTGCTGCTGACCTGGATCGGTTTGAAGTCGTTGATGATGTGGTAGATGAGCCAGGGGAATGGCAGACTAGAGGGAGATAAGGGAGTTTATTAAGTTAGGAGAGGAACATTTTAAAAACAGATATGACTTTGGACTATTACTCTGTATGTGTGTTCTTGTTGTTTTCTGGACTCACCCCACAGTGATATCAAAGATGTTGGAGCCGACAGAGCTGGACACGGCCATGTCACCCAGTCCTTTTCGCGCCACAATCACACTGGTGATCAGGTCCGGGATTGAAGTGCCGGCTGCTAGTATAGTCAGTCCCATTATCTCCTCCGTAATCCAGAACGTTTCTCCAACCTGAAAGGAAGAACAAGTTGCAGCTGTACAGTTAAAAAAACGGCATCATTTTCATGTTGGTCCAAAGATTCTTGTTACCGTGTTGCTAATTTTTCCTGAAACATGTCAGACTAGGCGGTTACCTCCGGGGTTGAAGATTGAACTTGGATGTTCTAAAAACTGAAGTTATAAAATGGGCACTTGAGGCTGGCTCCAAAAGCGTGTCAATTTCCACGGACCACTATGTTAAAATGCCCAACTTTGCAGCAGAAATTCAGATGTAAGTAGCTTGTTTAAAAAAATATTTTTTTGTTCTGGAGCTTATTTTCCCGTTCATGACAACTGTATTTATATCATAAATAAGGGCATCATCATGGAGTCTTAAACATTACAGTTTAGTGATACATTTAATTAAATGTAACCTCATAATAAATAAACTGACTTGTGATATTTATTATTCTATCCAACAGATATTTAACATTTATGGCGACTGCGCTCTGCATTTATTGGCACAAAAATGGCACGTGCGTCTCCTCAGTGACCTTGCATACAACATGACCTCATGCTTCAGGCCCGTCTTTGCATCTGCACTGTTAAAATAGAGCAGTACAGGTTGATCTGGCTGTGGATCAAGGCGGATTAGCTGGGATTAGCTGCCGTGGTCACACATTCAACACCCTTAATGCTGCACTGACTCATAAGAAAGGCCTCAGGAAAAGGAGAGAGTTGTTGTATGAGAGACAAATAGAGAGAACGTACCTGGTGAGCCCACCACACCATCAGGTAGGAGAAGAAAGCAATCCAAGAAATGGCACCGATAAAAGTGACAGGGAAGAATCTGGCCGAGGTCTGAGACAACAAGAAAAAAAAAAAGTTCAGTTTATACCGCACACTCAACAATTAACCCCCCCACCCCCCTCGATATACTTCACACTTAATGTAAGGTCATAATAAAGCATTTGGATGCAAATGTATAGTCCAAGAGGTAAAGAAAACGACAACAAAAAAACATTACTGGAACCTGCTGTAGCTCTCATATTTATTGAGCAGGTCATGAATATGTAACCTAAATTAAAGTGGTTTTCTTATATAAAACATTTGTTTGTGTATATTGGTTTTGCCATCTGCATTTGGCCAAAATGACTTGGAAAATATTGGCATTTTGTCATTGTCAAACATTTGCAATCGTGCATTCCTACTAGATTAGTGTTTTTACATTTTCTCATGCTTCAAAATTAAACGAAATTGTCAACACAGCAGTGGAACAGTTCTGTATCTAAATTAACATTATGCAAGTATGTCGTGTGAATGTGAGATATAAAATAAATTATTTTTACATGAGTTGCTCTTACATACGTGTACACACATAAACATGATTTTCATTGTTTGTGTGTGTGCTCATGTGTGTGTGGTGTCACCTCTCTCCTGACGTCGGGCAGTGTGAGCCACAGTGGCAGGATGATGGGCAGGATAACCAGGTAGATGATACGTTTCCTGTTGGTGTCGGGCCAGGCCAGGCTCAGAGGCTGTTCATCGTCATCATTTTCATCACCCTGAAGAAGGAGTTTGTTACTTCACATCAACTGTGTTTATAGTTATTTAAATATTTAATCATATTTCAATATAACATTCAGCCATACGTCTTCTTCTTCTCCTCCTGCAACACCGTTACTGGGCGGTGTGACTTCCACTGCAACGTTTGAACTGTTTGGGATGTTTTTATCGGCTGGAGGAAAGAAAAGGAAGAGAGAAAGGAACAGAGCTTAAGTATCAGATAATTCATTGGGAGTACATGTGGTTTCTATTGACGGTATTTTACCATTTATATAGCATAAAATAATCCACAACTTGCTGTTAAAACATGAATACATGAGCAAATAAAATATAACTTTTGATGATAAAATGATACATTTTCTGTCAAAGCTATCTATTATTATATTTGGGCATGTTTGGCAGTAAACTACCACACTGATTAAATATATCGAAAATGTGTACCAAAATAAAAAGTGCAAGAGGAAATGATGCTGTAAGAACTCTCACTGCTCAGTGTCCATTCATTCAGTCTGAGGAACACAGATTCATACGTCGCTGTTACTCACCTACACCGTTAGCAGTGACAGCATCTTCTTTACACTTCTGCTTGGCCATTTTGTTAAGGATTGATGCTTTTTCTTTGAAACGCCCTAATTCAATGGAAGGAGACTCAGTCAGTCCAGCTTGCTCTGCTGAACATTTAAAATGTATTTGTATTAATACATGCTTTGTGAAATGGTGGGTGTATTTCCACAGCTGGGACTATTTTTAATAGGAAAGAGGTAAAGAGAAAAATGAAAAGTGGTTAGACAAATGAAGACATTCCATAGACAGTATCCCTTCACCCAAACCTTGTCTGAATCATAATCTTCACTAAAGCTGTTTATTTATGAATACAATGTCAATTCAATTGTAGCGCATCCTCTGATTTTGACATTTTATTTTTTTCGAGAGATCATATTGCATTTCAGTATGTGTGTGTGTGTCGTGCTTTTTTAAGTCTTACCCGTACCTTCGTCACTGAGAGGGTCGAGTGTGTGTATCATGAGCTGAAAGATACTGTTCCTCATCAGTGAGTTGTGTAAAGAAGCACAGCTTCCCTCCCTCTGCAGCCTCGGTTTGGCCTGTACAAATACCAAAATAAATACAGAGAGAAACGATGAATATATATTCTGTGAATGACTGTAAAATATGTATATTTAAAAATGACACATAGACTACTATGGGAATATTTGAAGGCCAATTAATACCATTTACATAATATGACCCGAACCAGACATTACACAAAGAAGTTTAAACACAAACACAAACTCACCGTCAGCTTGTTCTCATCATTGACAGGTTCATTCACCTTTAAAGACACACAGAAAGAAAACAATATACAGTATAGGTTTTGTCACAAACAAGCGGGGAGGGGTGTCCAATACTTTAGGGTCAGCAGAAAATATCATAGCATAGGGATAGATGTAAAAAACACAATAGTGGCAGTGCAGTTAAATGAACCCGAATAAACACAGATGTGTTAAGCTAACTTGAAACTGAATGTCTTCAACACCTTACATCCTGATCACTCGTCAGATGTTCAGTAAACAGTGATGGAACAACGGAAACACACATAAACTCCTTTTTAGGAACAGTATCATAACAGTAACTCTAAAGGACCTCTTACTTACAGAGGGAGCGAAACAGTGCAAAAGGTATGGGGTCTTTTTCGGACACAAAAACTAGGATTATACACAAGCACACACACACACACACACACACACACACACACACACACACACACACACACACACACACACACACACACACACACACACACACACACACACACACACACACACACACACACACACACACACACACACACACACACACACACACACACACAGGATGACTAAGATAATTTCAACCCAGCCATTTCTTCAGAGGACATATACAGCACAGTGGTGTCACCACGTACAGTGAAGAAACACACATACACACACAACACACACAGAGTCCACTGGCTGGGACAGGAGTCTGTGGTGGTGTTGTGTGAGAGCACAGAGGTGTCAGCATGGGGAGGGTCTGGTTTGGGAATCAGGGATTTGGAAATATTAAAAAAACAGATGGGAACTTAAGACTGTGTGGGTAGATATCTTATAATCAAAGGTTATTGTAATCTTTGTTTGAACAGTTCAATAAGGATGTTTGCACAAGCTGTTCTCTGTCACCTTACAACCATTCACATGCAGGTGTCTTTCACCACATTGACATTCTGCCCTGGACAAATATATCATGTTGTTCTAAAGACACCCCCAGTAAAGAAGCTTTTATTGTATGTTAAGAAGGGCGTGAATCAAATACGAATGTTTGCTCCGTGAGAGAGGGGCAGGAGTACACTGTAACACGTAATCAATGGCTCAACTCATACTTCTATTTTGATTCTTTTACCATTGAGTCCAGACCATTTTTTATTTGACTGATGATCAGAGGTCATTTTCAAGAAATATATTTTGCATTTATGTAATTACTGGACGTAATCAAGAAAAGTAATGTCTTTGTTCTTATCCCAATAGGACAGGTTTGTATGAATATTTACAGTGCCAGATATTTTCAAATAACCAAAACGGCACTATTTATTCTGGGGTTATTTATCCTTGTGTGCCTTATATTTGCACTTATGTAGTGCTAAACTTGATACAGAGTTAGCTTACACAAATAATGACATCACACAGCAGATGTCACTGCTCCCTGTCTATTGATACACTGCCCAATTCCCATCATAAGGATACATGTCACATAAAGACAGCCAATACCTTAAGATGTAGCTGACCTGACTCTTTCAAAAGCACAAACACAAACAATGACCAACAACACGCGGAGGGAGGTGGAGGGTTTAGTTGTTGACGCGTTTTCATGATGGAGGCCACAGAGTTTGAGCAGATAATCCCTTTAGCTTGCATCTGACAAGACACCTGCTGCTGTTACGGCAGCTAAAGCAAGGCTAAAGATAGTCTTCTTATAGTTTCACTTCTATCATGAGTTACATGTTTGTCCAATCCAGATTTGGCTGCTGTTCATGATTTTCGTTAAACACTCTATGCACATACTATAGGATTCACCTCTTACACAAAACCAACTAAAACACATGAGAACATTTCTTAATCATTCTTTAAGCAACAACCTTAAGTAAACCTGGTTCAGTTATGTTGGTTTTCTTTATTAATAAAATGAATAGAAACATATTGAACAGTAAATAAGTCATTTAAAGGAAGACGTTGGAGACACTTGTCTGTAATATCCATGTGATTGCTGAGGCCAGCATGGCATTAGTTGTGGTTGGTTAGTGCTCAAAGGGCTCCTTATAACCTTCTGCAGAACCTGCTGACATTGAAACTGGATTTTGTTTGGTGCTGTCTTTTGAAACAGGTTTTTATACTGCATGACATACTGTGTCCTATTTTGAGAAGCTGCTGATCTTTGTCACCTTTACCCTAAGTCACTCCGCTGCGGATGTGTTGTGTGACATAACACCTCTCCGCATGTTTCCTACAGGATACAGCCACGATTAATCACCTAAAATGTTTAGGTTCTTGTAGCAGGTTGCAAGAATAAAGTCAACTACTGTGTAGGCCTACCTATGGTATAACCAGCCTGCAGCTAGTAAACTCGCCAGACCTGAACAGTATATATATATATATATAATATTTTGCAAATACATTACTCGTATTGACAAATTGCATTGATTATGAAGCTGCGTGTAGTCATTTATCTATCAGTTATAGAGAAATATAATGTTTTGCTCCAGCTAGCATTTATATTTTGTACATATGTACACTTTATACCAGTTGTAGATTATGAGGCTTCATTACAATATTAGCCATTGAAATAATTCATTAAAACCTTCTCTTTTGGGTCATTTTGCATGATAGTCATCTAAACTATGTTAATTACTACTTAAGCATATCGTTTAAGTAGTTCAAAAGTAAAGAGTTACTGCATGCAGATCAGGGATTGTTCAAGTCATAAAGTATGGCTTTTGAGACCTAAAGATGATCTGTTAAGGAGAAGAAGAAGAACATGAAAGCCTCAAGCTTAGCTGATTTGTAACCTTTGACTGAGCTGCTATTTCAGTTCAGGGGTCTTATCCCAAGTCCAGACACCGAAAGAGTCGGAAATCCTAGAGATTTACACCAAACTTCACTTTAATCCTAATAGTCCTCCCTGGAAAGACTGAGGCACAATCAGATCACTACTCAAATTCACATTTTCCTTCCTGACTTGCTCTCTTTCCCTCTCTCAACACCACCACCCCCCCCACCTCCAGTGTACACCTGACTGTCCGAGCTGTGGGATTTAGCCAGGATTAATCACTACTTTTAGACTGGTACTTTTCAAGCCTGCGTGTGAAGTCCCGCACTAACCTTCACAGGTCACCATGCCGTTTAACATTTCTCATCAGCCAGCAAATACCAACCATTTTGTTTGTTAAGTATAAAAACTATTTAGCTACATGATTTCTCATTTAAAACATAAATTAGGGAGAAATTATACTTGAATAAGTAAGCATTAAGTGCCTGGCTCAACAGAACAACTCATCATTTAGAAGCATTTTTATGTAAAAGTTTGAAAATCCATCTGATAAAACAATCTAAATTTTAAGCAATGAATATTAAAAAACCTTCACTTAAGGGCAGCAATAAAGCTACACTTATAACATGAGAAGTAATAACTATTGATAATTACAGCATCCTTCTTTGGACAGATTCTTATGCAAGTAAATGTTACGTTTTATTGATTATGAAGTTGCAGATGCAGAGACTCAATGTTCTGGGCTGTATGTTTGCTGTCGTCACCGCAGGTAAGCAGTTAATAACGGGATCAGAGGGGATTGTCCTCTTTAGTGCCATCACCAAGAAAAACCCTCGGACATTTTCTCTCTCTGTCTACTCAGACACACTCTATGTTTAAAAAAAAAAAAACAATACATCTATAACTTTGCTTAAACTGAAAACCAGACTACAGTTATGAGCACTACCGCAGGCTGAGGAGAGAGCCGGCAGTCGTTTTGCTCTCAGTGATCTGCTGATTCTTGCTCCCCCTGGGAGCATTTGACTATTATTGGTGGCTCTAATGGGATTAAAAGGCATTAACCTCGGGGGATTATTAAGCAGCTACCAACACATGAGGACAGAATGAGAAAAGCTGTTCTTGGGTTGAAGTGAGGCGGCCTGAAGTACAGCTGATTCCCAGAAGGGCACACATGTCAAACAGACCTTTAACAACACTGACGAGCACCCAAAAATACTGTGCTCACGTTTAAAGAAAATCATCAAATAGAAAACTGGATAAATATAGTTCACAGTACAGATACTACTGAAAGCCAGGGGGAAAGGTGCTAAATTAGCTATTACCAATCTATTATAGAAAAAAGACTACAAAAGCCAAATATTCATATTATATATAAGTGACTGCTTGATATAAAAAAAGTCATGCTTCTGGGGTAGCATTTTTTGTTGTTGACAGTGACCTGAGCATTTAAGGGGAGGAGATTTCAATTAGATTGGACCATCTTGTGTCCTGGTGATCATAAGCTCATCTTTCCCTGAAAGCTTGAACTTCTCCTGGCCTGGATCCCTACCATTAAAATAGTTGTCCCCTTCTAAGAAGTGTTTTCATCCAGTGTTGTAGAATTTGTTTCTGTCAACATTTCACTTCACACTATCTGAAATACATAATAATCTGTTGATAATGTTTCGGGACCAACAAAAGCCAGATAATGTGCACTCGCTGTATACGCCCCCGAAGAACTGGTGATGGGTGATGTCCGTCTACGCTAAGGGCAAGCTGCTCTAAGAACAGCCTACTGCAGTTTTTAGTAATTTTGTCACCTGAGAGCCGTATGTGATAACAACATCAGAGAGCAACACATCTGCCTCCAACTGCACGCACAGACAGGAAAACACGGAGAGACAAATGTGAAAAACAAAAAACCTCTTCAGTGTATCTGTGTGTGAGTTGAACCATTTTGTATCATCATTTCCCCACTCTTTCTTGAATCTGGAACAAACAGCCCAAAGTGCACTCCAAGCTATTCCCAAAACACACTTTCCCGTCATGTTCTCCTTGTTCACATGAAGTGATTGATTAAGTGATTGCACTGTGATCGATGTTTGTGTAAGTGTGTTGTCATTAGATCAACTTCCTGTAAGAATTAGTCAGCCTTTCAGAGAAAGAAACACTATGACATTGTTAATTCATTCAAATCTTTTCTCATGGCTAATTCTTGCTGCCTATCGTAAAACTGTGGTGGACTGCAGCTGTTATAAGATCCATGAGTAATCCATGTTTGGATACATAATCACTGGTGCTCTTCAAAAACATAATGATGTTTAATGAGCTGAAATAGGGGACAAACAACAGCAACAACCTTCTTAAAGACTAAAGAGACCACTTCACTCTAATGTCAGGACAAAGTCAAGGGGAGATGAAGGAGGGAGCTCGCTGATGAGGTTTAAGAGATGCTACAAGGATTTCTGGACTAATTAGGCTGTTCCCTCTCCATACAGAATGTGCTTTGAGTTTAATTTCAACCCTCTCTCAAATTTGGGTCTATTTTATTAACTGTCTTGAATATATAGGGTATTATGAAAATATGTAATCTAACAATGTGTGTGATTGAATCTTGGATTTAAAAAGATGCACACAAAACCATAACTTGAAATGAATCAATCCTGGAAGTGAATTTAAAAAACGAAAATATGTATGAGTGTGATTTTTGGCAATTTTGCATTGTTTTTTCCATGTGTAAAATTATAACGTACGTGAATAAAAACCTGCTTTCCTTTGCATGCTTTTTAATGTTCAATGGCATCGAAATGTGTCTGTGAAGATTGTGACAGAAGACTCAGAGGAAGAGTGGCCATCTTCACTTGATGGTTGATGGGAATAAGACTGAAAACTGGATCAAAACCCAGTTAAAGTCGGAACATTTAACAGACTGTTACATTAGTAATTATTATAATTATTAATATAAGTAGTGACAGTAGTCGAGGCCTGTTCCTAGAATTAGTCAGCACCAAGATTCTGAATTCTGGTTCTGCATCTGGAACTGTCCAAGATGCACAGGTGGCAGGTTAATAGAAATCTTTAAATCCTTACAGAGGGGTAGTCTGTTCTACATCCTATTTGCTTCCCACAACAGGAGCACGTCTATTCCCAGTGTCAGCAGCCATGACTGGTTGACCTATTTTCCCCCAGGTATTGAAAAGATGCCCAGATTTCAGTAAAGAGAAACTGACAGAAAAACAGTAAGGTTTCTTCCCAAACATTTGTATAACCCTGTCGACTTAAAGAAACACTTGAAAGATGCAGATTTCCTCCAGTAGATGTAGGGGTATCCAACACTAAGAATAGGGAAGATGGATGGATGGATGGATGGATGGATGGATGGATGGATGGATGGATGGATGGATGGATGGATGGATGGATGGATGGATGGATGGATGGATGGATGGATGGATGGATGGATGGATGGATGGATGGATGGATTAAGGCTCACCTTTGGTGCAGTCTCAAGCTCATCCACCTGGTTGCTGCCCAGTAAAGTCTTGATGACAAGTTCTATTTTGGCATTGAACTTCATGAATGTCACATAGCAGCTGTAGCACATCAGCAGACTGATACTTTCCCCCACTGTGATTTGATTATCCAAAAAGAAGTAGATGAGCATGAGCAGGCCGATGATATAGAACGAGACGTCTCTAAACAGAGGCCACCAGGTGAGGTGCAGCACCTCTCTGGAAAACACGGCGCACATCCCGATCACAAACAGGATATTAAAGACGGCAGAGCCCACAATGGTACCGATACCCACGTTACTGTGGGAGACAAAGACTCCTATGACAGAAGTGAAGAGCTCTGGAGCTGAGCCACCTGCCGCCATGAAGGTGGCTCCTGCAACATCATCGGATATCTGCAGCTTTTCTGTGATGACAGTGAGCGCTGGAACAAAGAACTCATCACAGACAAGGGCTAATGCTATAAACATGTACAACATGCCAAACATATGAAAAGCCACATAGCCCTGACGTCTGTCCTCCACGCTGAAGTAATCCGTTGGATAGTCCCCGTGATTCATATCTTCTGCAGATGACCGCATGGCAACCGGTGTGTCTTCTGGCTTGGCTGTGTGGTTGTGGTACTGAAGAAGAGTTCTTTGGGGCCCTGCCGCCTCTGCCGAGCCTTCAGCGGACGATTCTAGCTCTTTTGCCACCGTTGTGACCAGCGACAAGGCACTCCATGAACAGAATGTGCAGACCGCCACCATACTGATGATGAAGCCAAGAATCCGTCCGGAGCGCAGCTTTCTTTTGACACAATGGTATTGGTGCCTGGTGCAGCTGCTGGGAGGGTCCAGAAGAGGCTCGTAGCCAGGGGAAGCCATCCTGTCTCGACTTCTCATGGGAAGCAGGAATTCCATGGTGTTTGGCGCAGGTTGTCCGGATAAGCAGGAAGTGTATAGAATCCCCCCCAAAGCTGGGTTGGTGTAGCTGGTTGCTACGAGGGCGGGGGTTTGACAGGCCTCGACACTCACCGATTTGTTCGCATGCTGCTTCCTGGTCTAAACACAATGGAAGCCCTGAAGTCTGATTCCAGGATCCAGCCCATTAAAAGGCTTCCTCATATTACGCGCTGCAAATCAGAGCAAAAAATACATCGTATTAATGCAAGGGGGCACAGTCAAAACATAAGAAAAAACTGTGTGTAAAATCAAAAACATTTTTACATTACATTGCATATACACATTCTGTTTGATGCTGCTGTCCGTTATATCTCAGAGGGAGATATTGTACTTTTTTGACACCACAAATGTGTCTCATGACAATAGTAAGTTACTTTATTGATAAAGGTTTTACATGCAAAACATATGATTCATAAGATGGTGTGCGTTATGTTGAACTAACGTGTTTAAAGTAGTTCAAGGGAGCCCTCCCATTGATTGCTACAACAAAAAATTAGCTTCAGTAAAAATAAACCTTTTTAAATTATATTTGAAATGCCTATTTTATAGACAACTCGATATAATGAGTATAATAACTGTGAGGTCTATATTTGTGTCTGCTGCTGCATTTAATGTATGGTAAGGCTCCTAATCATTTCTGGTCAAGTTATTGTTGTTAGGCAGTTATAAATGTACTCTTGAATTGAATGAATTAAAGAAATATACCCTTTTTAAAAGCTAAAATTCTACTTACTGAATTTACAGTTTGAAGTGAATGTATTATAACAGTTGATAGTATGTTATTATTAGCAGCAATTCTGTTAAAGTGCTGTGGCCTTCTTGAGAACCAGCAGTGAGATCTCTCCTTTAAGTGAAGCTTGGACATTAGTCAAAGCTCATTAGGAAGCTATTTAATCCCTGAGAAGATATACTTAGATTAGCCTCAGGACCTGCACACTGATGCTGTTGCACAAAGTCAAAAAGTAGACACCAACTAAATGATAAGGGAATATGAGAGACACAAATAAATGAAATGCTCACACAATTGCACTTGGACAAATCCCAATTATGAAACTATATCTAACAAATCCTAAACAATGCCCATTGTTATTATGCTATAAAACACCAATTCACCAAGGTAAAACATGTAGTAAGCCTTTTCAAATGTTGCCTTTAAAGCAGCATTTAAGGGTCAATTTTGACTCCATAAGGACATAATACAGCATGCCATCATTAGAGCAAAGTCATAATACAGCAACACACAAAGAGCACACAAACACAGATCTTTCTCATACCTCACTTGGAAATCTTCAGGCAGCAGGAAGGACTCCAGCAGGTAGTCAAGTCTCGGAGACTGTGAGGGAATATTCCCATGAATTGAATCCCAGAGGAGAAAAGTCCCGAGAGCTCAGAGTTCAGTCTGAAGGTCCCAACACTAAATCCTCAGTGAGATTCTCTCCCTCAGCCCAGGTGGGGCTCCAAGCTGCCAGATCAAAAGCCAAGGGACCAAGGGCTCCTCCCCCTCGCAATGTTCCTCCCCCCTCTGATACTGCCTCTCTCCTGTCCTTCTTCAGGTTATCACCTCATCCACCTCTCCCCTCCTTGACTTCTCCCTCTCCTTTCCCAGAACGAGGATATAGGCGCCATCTCAGTCATTTCCCCCCTCCCCCCAGCGTCAGGTATCATTTCCTCCCATCCCCACACCCAAGTGAATGGGTATTACACAGCGAGCTAATAGCTAGATTGGGCTGAAGCCTGCAGTCCTATAGGATCATAGTGCTGTGCACAAAGTACTTGAAAACTATCCCAATTACTTTGTGACATACTAACACACTACTGTACATTTCAGAGGGGATGCTGCATGATATTTGAATGTAGAGCTGATACATTTTCAAACATGGTGTCAAACGGTTGAATGCACGTCCATGTTCTGTTTTTGTGCTTACATTTATTGGTAGCTGCACAGATTTTCTCTCATTATTTACATTTTTATTTGTATTTACAAATATGAACTTTTTACAGGAAATGTCTTCTGTTACATCCAATTATTTGAATCATCGTGCATTTTTTCTTAAAAAAAATAGAAGTCAATCGCCATACTTTCTATCATAATTTCCTGCAGGTCCGTAATGGGCTTTGGATGAAACACCTGCTAAGGTATCAATTGACTCATGTGTACAAGTAACTCATAAAATAATGATTATTACTAATACTAAAACAATAAGTATAACACTTTCTTTGACGCTAATGCTTATAATGTATTAAAAACATGTTTGTAACACTGTATAGTCATAGTAATAAACACTCAGATACTGTATATTCATAAGGCTTTATTTCAATAATAAATAATTATTTCAATGATCTTATGACACATAAGATCAAGTATTATAAAACTTGAAAAAAAGTTGAGTGTGTGTGTGAGTGTGTGTGTGTCTGTGCGCGTGCACTTCAAGTCAGGTCAAGTCAGGTCAGGCTTTACACAAGAGAACTGTAAGCTTCAGAATCCACCAGAAGGTGAGTTCAAATGAAGTGACTTATTCTGTTATGTACTGTAGCTGTTCCCAACATAAACCCTACATCTACAGGTGGAGAGCGTGTGTGTGTGTGTGTGTGTGTGTGTGTGTGTGTGTGTGTGTGTGTGTGTGTGTGTGTGTGTGTGTGTGTGTGTGTGTGTGTGTGTGTGTGTGCGTGTGTACGCGAGAGAGCGAGAAGAGAGGGAGAGAGGATATGTGCTACAAGTACAACATACTTTTATAAAAGTCGAATGAGACAAAGAATTTAACTTCACTGGCGTATTATTTTAGTTTTAAATCCATCACTTAAGTCTACTGATAAACACCCTCACCGTAGCCCTACTTATTTAAAAAAAAATGTTATGCATTCATAATACAGAAAAGGCAAGTAGCAAAGGGGAGAGTAGGGGGGGTGACAGGGCCATGTAAACCAACGAACACTGCTGGGCTGTAATCCAACCAGACCTACCTATCGGTTCTCACCTCCTACTGTTCTTATCTTCTTACCTAATTAAACAGGAGCATACTTAATGGAGAGGGCCGCTAACTTTCCCTCACATGCAAAACGCTTACAGTATGGTTTGTTACTTTCTGATAACAGGAGGGTACATTGGTGTCTGGACTCTCTGGGACTATCTTACAAAGATAAATATAAATGACAGAAGAGAAAATACAAACTGTGCAAAAGTTACTTTGATTTGGTATTCTCACTAAAGAGATACTGTCTTTATATTTGTACACTGTAAAATAACGAGGCAATGCCACGGCCTAACTTGGTTTGGTACAGAGGTGTTTGACCTTCTGTATTCGGCTGTAGCTGCTATATTAAGGGCTAGGTAAATTCCTGACAAGGCTAAACTGATTACATAACCAACCAAGCTAACCTAACCCTCCTTCGGGTTAAGGTACATCGCCTGTAGAAAAATAAGTCCCTTTGCATGCAGAGGAACTCTTTGAAATCTGTTTCAGGTTAAGTTCATGATTCTCTTACAAAAAAAAGGATCTGATAGGGGGGAACATTTAGCAAGCTGGAGTACAAAAGATGTAGCCTAGATACTACAAAACACAAACATTCGCACGATTGGCTAGACAGGTATAGATGAAAACCAGATTTTGCATTAGACATCAATTTCCAATCTGTTATTCGATTTCTTTAGTGGCTCATTTTTTTAGTCATTTTCATTGGTGGGACAGGCAGCAAAAAGTGAGAGATATTCATGTTCCTCTGTGAAGATGGGATCAACAGCAGCTTACTGGCTAAAGCTTGTGCCTAAAATAGCTGCTAAGTTATATATGAGCTCGAGAGTCTGTGAGCGGGGAGGGCCCAGGTAATCGGTAAGATCTATATAATGAGTCTATGAATAGAAAAGAACATAAATAATTTACCTAATTTATGCTAATCACTCCCGCTGTAGTTAATGTTGCTACACCTGTCCAGCATGCAGTTTACAGAGATAAGGGTGGCATATTTCCAACCTGGTCTCACCAGAATGCGTGACTCCACCACGACTCCTTAACACTGCATTGCGTGGTGGAGTCACGCACTCTGCTACATTTACGTGTCGGCACCACGCAAACAACCCCAATGTAAAGTGAATGAGGCTCCTTTGTCGTGGTGCACACACGCATCTCTACAACGTCCCGCAGTGAGCTTTTATTCTATAAAACGTTTTTAAAATGTACTTTATAGCTTGTAGTAACTCACGGGAGGCTTCTTTTATTTTATTTGTATTCATAATAATTTTTATTTTTCGTCAGAATGTATTATGGTGCTGTAGTGCCGAGAGAAGGGAGTCGGAGGCGGTGCATCGGAGGTACAAATCTGGCTTTATTGAGGAGCAGAAATCGACATGCTGTCGGGTCGAGCCGAGAAGAGTAAGAGAGAGTGAAAGGGACACACACACTGTAGGTACCCCGGAGGTACCGTCAACATATATGTCCGGGCGGAAACAATACCCCCAACCTGTAGTTCCATGCGTGAATTTTACCCTAGTTAAATAGTGGTCACTACAGTGCATTATTTACCAATTTTTGTTCTCAAAAAACAGTGCATTGTGTGTAATACAACTGTGATTTTTATTAAATTAGTTCGTTTTTAAGGAAGGCCAGAGCTTCAGCTGTGTCAAATAGATTGTTCCCTTTAGTTAACGTTATTTAAAAGATAATTATATTCCTATTTGATCATGTACCCTTTATTGTATTACGGACCCAAAGAGCAATGTGAGCGTCCATTCCCATTGGATAACGGAGGATTTTACACCCGGAAATAAGTATTCTCTTTACTGTCGATTGATTTTACAGTGATATCTGCACTACTCATCACCAGTAAAAACACCAGATTATCCTTGTTAATTACACAACATTGATTGGTTTAAATTGTGTACAATGCTTGCTTGTGTATTTTCCCCTTTCGATTCGGAGAAACAAATATTTTTTCGGAGTTTTTGGATGGCAGAAGACACTACA